CTCAGGGGCACCGAGCGGGCCCCGTGGCCCTGCCCGGGACCTGAGGGAAGTGAGTGTGCGTGGGGAGATCGCTTTGTTCGAGTTCATCCCCGGCCCCGCGGTGCGGAGGAGGTGTTCGGGCAGGGTCAAATAGCTGCTGTCACTGCCATGTCCCTTTGCAGCGGGCAGAGAAAACTCTCGGCTCCTTTTGTCGCTACAGCAGGGATCAGGACTTCCCCCCTCTGCCGTGTGTTAAATGAGAAGCCGTGCGCATTTGGAGCTGCTGGTCCTGAGAATTGCCGTGAGATGATTTAGGGGCGGGGGATGCTCAGCTGGGGTTCCTGGATGAGCTCTGTGGGGCTTTTTCTTTTCTGTTTACAGCCTGAGAGTCAATTTATTCCTTGGCTTACTTACAGCAGGGGTGAGGATGTGTATGCAGAGTAGCAAATCCATTAAGAGGCTTGATAGATGGAGGAGCTAGCACTTCAGTTGTACTAGATACAGTAAAAGCAGCAGGAGCTGTTCCAAGGATGCCATACGATGTGCTGCTGCGGGAGTGCCTGCACAGCAAGGGCTCGCTCAGGAGCAAGCTCCTTCACCAGGAGCCAGCGTGGTGCTGGAGCCACGCATGTGGCAGGAAATGCTGCTCTGCTTCAAGGGTGGCCTTTGTCAGCTGAGAGCTTCTGGTGCCTGTGTGGCTCTCGTGGGAGGTTGGTTGGAATGGGAGCCCTTTTAAGGAAGGGGTTCCGAGAGACTCGGTCTCAGCACTACAGTCTTCTTCTTGCCTACCACAGAGCTACTAAAATGATCTTGCTCTGATTCCATGAGAGCTACACTAACCCAGAGCTGTGCATGCCCAAGTGCACGTTTGTTGGGTGCAGGTCACAATGGAGACCCAGATGTGTTTTGTGCAGGTCTGGCAGCTGCCAGATTCCCTGTGAAACAGCCTGGCTTGGCCATGGGCACCTGCTCTGCCTGGCTCCTGCACTGGGCAGGGCCGGTGTGCACAGCCAGGAGCTGCTGGATCAATGAATCTGATGAGATTCATTGAAGAGAAACATTTGAAAAGGTCTCCTTTTGTTTCCAAGAACCATTCTTTCCAAGCTGTTTCGGCCCATCACCCTGGGCAGCTTTTACCTCTCTTGGTGCTGTGACCACTGGAGTGCAATCCAGGGATTTTAGGACCAGATCTCTGGAACAAGTCTAACCAGGGCTCTTGGTTAGACTTTTTTTTTGGATGATCTTTCACATCGAAGCAGTAGGACTGTGAAGGGTTGTCAGGCCAGGGAAATGCAGCCTCTGCAAACTGTCCTGGCTGCGTGGGAGGGACAATGCAAATGCAGTGATGCATCTGCACGGCTCTGCTTTAAGGTACTAGAGCCCTTCCTTTTGTAGGGGGAGGAAATCACAAAGGACACAGGGATGCTGGCACTATCGGGCTCTAACTGCCTAGCGATTCCTGGGCTGCCTGAGACGCTTGCATCCATTGTTTTGAATATCCAGCCTTGTTCAGGGCAGTCTCAGAGCTAAGGCTGGATGAGAAAGATGTTTCCTGCTGTATGCTCTGGTAAGCCAAAATCTGCAGGCATAGGTCCTGCAGTTGGTTTGAGTCTTCAGGAACCATGCTGGGAGTCAGGGCATGATCTAGCTGAAGTCTTGTGGTGATAGTAAAATACTTGATTTTTACTGATTTTGAGGCTCAAAGTTAGACCCTACAAAGATGTCAGGGTTGTTGGTTAGATTTCAGTGAGAGAAGGAAATCTCACCAGAGGTGTTTATTGGCAAGCCAACACTGCGGTTTCCCTGTTGTGGGAACTCAGCAGGGATTGCTCTTGTTTCACCTGCCATGATGAAGCCCTGATGGCCCCTGTGCTTATCAGGTCAGAGAAACAAGCTTCTCCATGTGTCCTTTCATGTCAGCTTGCACCCGTGTCCTTGGGAGGCAGCTCTCTGTGCCTCTCTCTGAGGGCAGCTTGGCTGTGGGGCCATCTTTGTTTCCTGGTCTGCTGTTTTGGGAGCTCTGAGCTGGGGGGGGTCAAGATGGGAACAGGAGACCTTCCTATGTTTTGTGACAAAATGATGTGTCAAGGGAAGATGAGAACTGAACAGTCATTGGCCTCAGAGCAGCTTTTCCCATTTAAGTCTGAGTATGCTGGAAATAAATCCTCTCTTCATTGTCTCAGAGAGCAACCTCGGCCTCGGTCTGGGGTTTTGGCCAGCAGAAAGCAGGGGACCGATCCCTGGGCCAGAGACTTTGGGTGGCCAAGATCATTGCTCTTGGTGCTCTTACTCCAAGGGAATGGTGGGGCTGCAGGGATTCCCCCCTTGCTGCCGAGAGCCTGTCTGCTCCTCCTGGGGCAGGAGGCCACTCTCCATCGCTGTAGCATCATCTAGTGGCCATGGGCATCTCTGGCTGTGCCGTTCTTCAGTCCTGTGAATGCGGTCTGGGATAACACTTTGTGCTTCTCTTCTTGCAGGGGGCTATGAGCGCTTCTCCTCGGAGTACCCTGAATTCTGTGCAAAAACCAAGTCCCTGAGCAATGTGTCACCCCCCACCAGTGCTGAGCCCTTGGATTTGGGCTGTAGTTCCTGTGGGACCCCTTTTCATGACCAGGTATGTCTAAAAGCCCAGTGCTCAGCTATTTTGACTGCCCTTCCAGCATTGCAACCTGCTCCAGTGGGAGTCTCTACTCTTCCTCAGCTGGGGCTCGTGGAGCCAGAGTCCTGCTTCCTTTCCTCTCATGGGAAAGCATGGTGGTCCTCCTAATCCCAGGGTGTTTGTGTGCACCGAAGAGTGGACAAGCCCAAATCCTGTTAACCACACCTGCCTGTTTCTGAACAGGAGAAGGAGAGGAAGAGGAAAGGCTGAAATAGGTTTAGCACCTCAGGAAAGCAGCCTCTGCTCCCTCTTCTGAGGGCCCTGGATCAGGTGCCAGGTTGCTGCACAACTTGATGTTTCCATGCCATCTGGCCATGTGTCCTGCCTGGCACTGTCCCCTGATCAACCCCATATCTGTTGTTTTTCTCTCTAACAGGGTGGGCCTGTGGAAATCCTTCCCTTCCTCTATCTTGGCAGCGCTTACCACGCAGCCCGGCGGGACATGCTTGATGCACTGGGCATCACAGCCCTGCTGAACGTCTCCTCAGACTGCCCCAACCACTTTGAGGGGCACTACCAGTACAAGTGTATCCCTGTGGAGGATAACCACAAAGCTGACATCAGCTCCTGGTTCATGGAGGCAATTGAGTACATTGGTGAGTGCCTGTGCAGAGATGTTGTCTGCACTGGTTGTCATGGTGGGAGGGAGGTCAGCCACCACCTGCGGGTTTGGTGAGGGGTTGGGCCGTGGTGGCACGGCCTGGGTCTCATGTCTCACCCCTGTTGCCCCCCAGACTCAGTGAAGGAGTGCTGTGGCCGGGTCCTGGTGCACTGCCAGGCTGGCATCTCCCGCTCGGCCACCATCTGCTTGGCGTACCTGATGATGAAGAAGCGCGTCAAGCTAGAGGAGGCCTTCGAGTTTGTCAAGCAGCGCCGGAGCATCATCTCCCCAAACTTCAGCTTCATGGGGCAGCTGCTGCAGTTCGAGTCACAGGTGTTGGCCACTTCATACGCAGTGGAGGCCGTCAGCCCCTCGGGGACGCTGCGGGAGCGGGGCAAGGCCACCTCCACCCCCACCTCGCAGTTTGTCTTCAGCTTCCCAGTGTCTGTCGGTGTCCATGCCACCCCCAGCAGCCTCCCCTACCTGCACAGCCCCATCACCACGTCGCCCAGCTGTTAGCTCAGGGCCGAGGCCAGCCGGGCAGGCAGTGCCAGGCGTGTAGGGGGCGTGGAGCCCTGTGATGTTAAGCAATAGTGCCGGACACTGCCATTCACGCTGGACTCGACATCTTTTTCGTAGAGAAATTTCTTACCTCATCTTGGTTTGTTTGCTTTTTATTGTTATGTTTTGAAAGCACGAAGTTGTAAAAGCCACAAACCTTGACATTGTCCAGGCTCTTTGGGGGAGGAAAAAAATAGGGTACTGGGTTTCCTCAAGTGCCTGGTCTTGATGTGTTTCCATCCCCATTTTACTGTCTTGTTTTTTTACACCTCCCCCTCTCCCCATGTTTCTGCCCCCAGCTCATCTAGGTTGACATGGGAGCATACCCTGTTTTTATTGTGCAGCAGCCTGTCCCCTTGCAGAGAGACCTGTGTGTGTGTGGTGGGTGCTGCTTACCTGAGCCAGGTACGCTTTGGACAAGCAGAGCTGCAGGCAGGACCTTGGGGTGAGCAGGAGTGGTGGCACAAGGCTGCCTGCACTCAACCCCAGCCCTGCCAGTGGCTGGGGAGATGAGGCAGGACCTGGCAGGCACCTGCCAAGTCACCAGCTGAGCCTATTCCAATGGAAGAAAGCAATCTCTGTGGTTGGGAAGTAGTTTGGAGGGAGAGATGTAGCCTGAAATGCCTATTTTCTTGCCTCTGTGGATCACTGGTTTCTACAAAACTTGGGTCCAATCTCCTGTGGCTTTAAGATGAGAAAGAAGGGCTGCTTTTGATTACTTTGTTCAGTTTCCTCTCCACGGGTCCCACTGCTGCTCTCCTTCCAAAAGAGGATGTCCTGGGACATGGGTGGGCTGTAGTCACGGAGAGAGAAGCTGTGGGGTGGAGGACAGGCTGGCCCAGAGGTGTCATTCATCCAGCATTTTCAAGCTTCTCCCACCTCATGACCAGCCCTTTTCCTGTGCTGAGTCTTGTTCACCTGTGCAACATTTCTGCAGCTTTTGGTCCAAGCTTTGAAAATGCCTCATCTTCAACCCACCTGGAGCCTTATTTCCCACCCTACCTCTGCCCTTCCCTCCAGTCCAACACACAAGATGCCTGTGTGGCTGATGTACATATGTATGGTTTTGTTCTTTTTTTTTTTCTAGAGATTAACTTTTTATTTATTGCCTGAGGGAGGGAGAAAACACTGTTTGAAGAAAATAAAAATAAAACTGTTTTCAACAGTTTGGCTGGAGCAAATTTGTCCCAAGACCGAAGAGCAGGTTGTGCACACATTCCATTTTCACAGAGCAACTGTTAAAAATGTATTTATTGACTTTTAAACTATTACAAGTATTGCAGATCAGACATTTAGCCAAGCACATTAATAGATCAAACTCAGTTGTTACAGAGATGTTACCTAAAGTCCACCATGTAGGTAGGCTGAGAAACTGCCCATCGTCTTCAACTTTGAGAGAGAAGGTAAAAGAAGAAATAAATAAATGATATCCCAGCTCCAGGTAATTGGCAACCAAGAGAGGACAAATACAGGGCTAGTTATGAAAACAAGTTACACAAAAAAAGGTCTAGAAATTCAATCCCCAGCTGCATTGCCATCTGGGTTGCCAGAGAAAGCAATTAGGAATGACAAAGCACAAGCTCATGGGACTGCAGCACAGAAAATCCCCATTTCAATTTCCAAAGCTGAAGCAAGTTCTGCAGATGTTAAGAAAGTGTCAAAATTATCTTGTAACAACAAAGATTCTAATACTCTACATTAGTAATTAATGGGACCAGCACTAAAATTTGCCACCAACAGGTTCAGCAAGACCGATACATCAAACCCAGTCAGATAACGTGACTTGACAGGCATATGTGTCAGTGTAATGGAAATGCATCTGCTTCCCATGTCCTCTACAGATTCCCAAGCTCATTCACCTTGCTTCAGAGATTTCAGCACACATACTGTGTTCCCCAATCCCTTGGGTTTCACATTGACTCTGTTCAGAGGTAAGAACACTGCCACTCCCCCTCTGCACATCTGTCCCGGCACTCAGAAAGACCAGAACACGTCTGTGCCAAGCCACCACCTCTGATCACCAATGGATTCAAGTCTCTGGAGGCTCACAAGCCCCTTGCTACATGAGAACGGAATATGTGCTTTCCCAGGTCCTCCCTATGGGGGGCTGCAGCATAGCTTACAATCCTGCACAAATATTCAGCTTAGCATAACGGAAGCATGCATTAGATGCACGTCCTTTTAGATTTCTGAGCTAGACTTTCTGTGGCAAAGCAGCATGGAAACAGAGAAATACCACTGAAAATAAACTCACACATTTCCTGACACTGAGTTTCTGAGAATGATTAGCAATTAGCAAAACTAATCTGTTTTGTGGCTGGACCCTTCCTTTTACCCACCTTGAAAAATCCTGTTCAGGACAATTTTGGTTAATAGTCCCATATGGGAATTGCAGGCAGTGCATGAACTGATGTCATTGCAGGGATGCAGAAGGCTTTTCTGAGATTTGCCACTGTCTTTAGTAGCTCTCACAGGCCACACAGTGGCACAACATGTTTGCAGCCCTCAGCACCTAACACAGGGAGCAGACACCTCCCCTAACCTACAACAAACAGCGGGAACAGCTGGTTTCCAGAGCCCTTCTCCAGGAGTTACTCCCTCCCATATACCACATGCCTTTTCTGTGTCTGCTGCCCACCAAAGCCAACGGTGCAGAACATTTTGCAGGGTTTTCTCTTTGCTTCAGTGTAGGATTTTCTTTGGGGGTACTCCCATAACAAGCAAGCAAAGTTTAAGTTTGCAGGCAAAATAAATTTCTGCTACATAATGCAGTGGGATTCAATTGCATCACACGCAAACCACTCAAAACAGGTTAGAAAATCAATAGTGACTGCAACATGGTGGAGATAGTATAAGAGGTTTGTAACAGTCTCTGTGGAGCTGGGATCAAACACAACTGGTAGATAAAAATAAGAACGAGAACATAAAATATACCTTATTAAGGTACTGTACTGTCTGCTTTTAATCCTAACAAAAGTTTTGTTGACAGCAATCAGACTGCAGTGTCACTCTGCACCAGGTACCTAAGTCATCAGTCTCATGGAAACAGTTTCAGCAATGGAGAGCAGAACCCTCCCCCTTTTTGTCAGATGGTGACTTTTCATCCCATTTTGCCTATTGAGGTCCTGTTGCAAAACTACAAAGAAGTTTCAAAATGCTGCCTCAAAGGGACGCTGACAAAAATCAACAGGCCTGAGAGACACATTGTCCCTTGTGCCAGCAGACACCAAGTTCTGTCCCTGGTCTCCCAAGCTTACGAGGGCTTAGCCCACTGTTCTTATGTCAGCTCCTACTGTGCCCCAATTGGTGATCCAATACTGTAAATGAGCATCCCAGTATCAGGGGACTGCTCTTCTCAGGAGGTCAAAGGCTTCATTTCTCAGGAGGCAGCAACTGCCTGGTTATGGGGTCATGGCATTTTTAAGGTCCCATTGTAGTTAACTCCCCCAGCTAAAGCAGCAGCGTCTGTACCGTTAACAGCCTGCCAAATGCAGCTCTACCACCACAACCACAACCGGGTTTGTCACAGGTAACTTTGATATTGATGGGCAGATCCTCACTTTGTTTTGAACTGTAAGAGGAGCTGTGACAGCATATGCTACTCCTGCACAGGTGTCTACAACACACAGATGCATCATCAGGCCTGGGTATTCCTCTGTGTCTGGCCACAAACGGATATGAGATCACGTCATTACGAGACAAAAAACACTGCAAAATTATTTCCTCACACAGCACCTTTACTCTGCACAGAACATCAGAAACATTAACACTGGCAGTTCAAAGATACTGGAAAGTAGAATCACAGAATATGCTGAGTTGGAAGGGACCCATAAGGACCAATGATTCCAACTCCTGGCTCTGCACAGGACAGCCCCAGGATTCACACCAGGTGCCTGAGAGCATTGTCCAAAGGCCTCTTGAACTCTGTCAGGCTGGTGCTGTGACCACTTCTCTGGGGAGCCTGTTCCAGTGCCCAGCCACCCTCTGGGTGAAAATCCTTTCTCCTGATATCCAACCTAAACCTCCCCTGACTCAGCTTTATGCTGCTTCCTCCACTCTTGTTACCAGTCAGAGAGTGAAGATATTGGTACCAACCCTCCACTTCCTCTTGTGAGGATGTTGAAGACCCCAATGAGGTCTCCCCTCAGTCTCATCCAGGCTATTTTTATCATCTAGACATTTCAGGCTGTAAAAGAAATCCAGACTAAGCCATTAGTTCAACCAGCACATAGGAAACAACTAGCAAGAACAGCATCCGGTGTGGGCTTGGTGGGGTTTTACATTTTAGATTTGTTCTTATTTTTGAAAGATGTAAAGCTTTTAACTTTCACACCCACATTAATCATTTTTCTCACTTAAGCAGCATAGCTGTTTCACCATTTAAAACTATGTCTAACTGGGGATGGAGAACAGCACTCGCTCTGGTCGCTGTCTGAAACCCTAGTGCAGATAGGCACATCCCCCACTCCATTATGAACTAAATGAAAAACAAACCCCAAACTTAAATGGTGAATACAAAGCTTCAAAGCCTAGTGGTGATCTTTGCAATCCTAACACTATGAAACAAGTAGCCAAAATACAAGCACCCAATTTTATCAATGAAACTTGTTTAAAAGGACAACTAGGCTAGAGCCTGGCTGGGACTTCAAAGCTACATATTTAATCAGGTCACAAAATGAAGTGAGAACCATATATCCACTGTCAGCTCAAGATAAGTAAAACTCAGAGTTCAAGTTCTGTTGGAGTATTGCTATTTCTAAGGTTTCCTTTAGAGATATTACAAACAGATGATGTTCAGGTAGCCATATTGCATCAAATGACTGATTTTACAGTGGGTGACATTTCTTGTGAGGATGACTTGCTTCAACATCAATCCTTAACGTTAAAAATAAAAATTGTGTCTTAATGCTGAAAGTGAAACTCTCTTAAGGATTAAGTCTGTTTTATACAAACATGTTAGCAAAATCCCACTTATGGGGAGCACGTATATTTTTATCAACTAAGAGCACACTATTCTGTTGCTTTCTTGCTTTAAGGGGGATAAAACCTGAATGCATGAACTGGATCATCAGACACTAAACAGTGCTGGTTGATAGGGAAATGTACAATGTGTTGTGTCCAAAGGAACATTTTTTTCCTCCAGTTGTTACATGGTCAACACTGAAGCACATCTCCTGGTATTGGTTGTTAGGAAAAAAATTAACAGGTCTTGATCTTCAACCTCCTCTGAAACTGTAAAACATCACAAAAAAGAAACAGTTTCTACTTTTATTAAATCCATATCCACCATGAGAGGGACTTTTGAAACTTTGATGCTGTGCTATGCAATGCTTAAAAATAACTTTCTCCTACCCAGCAAAATAAACCTGGGAATTTGGGAAGAAGGGTATTAAGTGAATAAATCCTAACTTTGTTCTCTGGTATACCTGCAAACAAATCCACTTGCCAACCGATACTTTAAAATTTTATTCTCATCAAAATGTAAAATCGATATTTAAAAAAATTATTACTTTTGTAAATCCCTTAAGCTCTTCAACTGTGATGTCACACTCAAAGATGTGACAGGCAACTGCTGTAATGCACTCTCCCTTACCAGCCTGAAACCCATTCACTGGGTCTCATCTTACAGAGGGACATGAACCAGATATGCCCCTCCTGTATGAAATCTTCTGACTTTTCACCTGCTTCTCCCAGCAAAACCATACACTGCTGTAACTGCAGAACATTTCACAAGCTGCATGCACGTAACAGGAGCCTTATAAAATGTTCTTTTAGAGATGCCAGCAGAGGGCATGGACCGGTTTCATGATGTTTTTCTAAGCACAAGAGCTGGTTTTACCCTTGCAAACACTTCCCAGGGCTTCCCCCAGAAAACTCACACAGACAAGGCAGCAAATTGACATCACTTGTTTCCACTCTAAAGTTACACTCACTCATGTTATTGTTTGCTCAGAGGTGTGCAAAAAAAACCCTATATTGAAGAACTTGACCTAGCCCCTCCTCAGGTGAAATTTATATTGCATTGTTAACGATTTTAGTCGACTTGACTTTGTGCAAAATATCTTCAAGAAGGTTCCGGCTCATCTTCAGAATACAAAAGGAGAATAAATAGGATCTCTTGGAAACAGGAAATGAATGGTGTATGCTGAAAAGAAAATGATGGGC